AAGATGTTTTGCAATAAAAACTCTCCCCAGTTTCCAATAGCTTGAGGGGTAGATGCCTTCTTTCTCATACAAGGTGAAAAGTGGGCACACTCCTTCAACCACATTAAAATCTTTGTGTCCAGGTCCAAATGAACAAGGCCCAAAGAGAGGAGGCACTTCCCTCATTCCCCAGTATTGAGACCCTCTTTCAAGATCTCATGCCCTCTCCCATGATGTGCCTCTTCTCAAAATGACTGACATTGGCAATACCTTCAATAGGAAACCCCATCTCCTAACCACAGGGATGCTTATATCCCTAGCAGAACAAGTATATCAAAACAGTACAGAGGCTTCTCTACTGCTACCCTTTTAATTAAACAAATAAGCAAACAAGGGAGAAAAAAAAAAACAAAACAAAAACAACTATCAGAGATGCAAAGAAATCTATCTGCCAGAGAAAAAGTAAATAAACTCTGTCAGCAACCAACGGATGATTTAAGTGATTGAATTTATTTTTTAGGTCATTTGACATTATTAACCACATCATGTACCATAAGTGCAAAAATGTGGGGTGTGTTGAAACTGCCACCATTCCATATTCCCTTATTTGAAACTCTTGAGACCAGATGTATTTTCTGTATTCAGAAAAGAATATGCACCAACCATTTTTCAAACTCCACTGTTTTTTTTTCTTTTAAAATCAATTTTAATGGGGTATAATTTACATATAATAAAATGCATCCAGTTTAAATGCACCCAGTGAATTTAGACCACTACACCCTCATGTATCTACTACCGAAATGAAAGTAAAAAAGAAAAATTTCTATCACCCCAGAAAGTTCCCTCAAGCACCCTTTGGCTATACCATTTTTATGGAACACTCCAGTGGTTTCTAGGGAAACATTCTATAGGCAAACACATTCATACTTCTGCACCGACTCATAAGAATATTCACACTGAGTGGTATAAATAAAGTATACAAATAGTCTTATGTAATATTGGCCCAGGTTTTCCTGCCAAATGAGTTTGCCATAGCTTCCAAAACCCTTTCAGTTTTCAGAACATTCTGGACTTCGAAATTGTTAATAAGAGATTATGGGTCTGTTGTAAAAAGAGATACACGGTGATGAAAAAGAAATAAAGATGAAAATTACTCTTTTATAGACGTACACAAATTGTTTGCTTGCATAGAGACATCCTGGACTTCTGACAACATGAACTAATAAACATAGGAACTTTTTGGAAACTAGCCTGCTTTTAAGAAAGTTTTATTCACTAGTGTACTTTGTGGAGTCCCTAGGTGGTGCTAACAGTTAATGCGCTCAGCTGCTAACCGAAAGGTTGGAGGTTGGAGTCCATCTACTGATGATTCCCAACCTAGCCTGTGTTATCTTTCAACTTTCTCACATTTCTTGCACGTGCCACAGACCTTCCCACTTCCAGGCCTTTGCTAATTATATCGGTAGCAGAAAAAGTATATCAAAACATTACAGAGGCTCCTCTGCTTCTACCCTTTTAATTAAACAAATAAACAAAGACAGAAAGAAAAAAGAAAAAAAAAAAACAACCAACTATCAGAGATGCAAAGAAATCTATTTGCCAGAGGAAAAGTAGGTAAACTCTGTCTGCAACCAACGGATGATTTAAGTGATTTGTTTTATTTTGTAGATCATTTGACATTATCAACCACATCATGTACCCTAAGTACAAAAATTTGGGGTGTGTTGCTAAATCCTAACGATTAAGTTTGGGATAGGAGGTATAAGGTAGCGGTGACTGGCAAAAAAGGAGCTAACATTTGAGGCAGGACTGTGTAGTTGACATCCCTCAGAATACCCTCAGAATCCTGGGAAGTTTTGTTATTTATATTTTATGGGTGGGAAAAGAAACTTGATGAATATTATACACTAAAAGTGGAGGTGCAGCATTTAAACCAAGACTGCTTGATGGCAAAGTGATTGCTGCTTCCACTACAACGTGTCTCACCTCCTCCACTGTGTTCCCTGTCTACTGCCTCTCACTTTGACCTGTACGTACTCCGTGCTCCAGAAGCAGTTACGTACTGTACCACAACATTTAACATTTCATTACACTCCATTGTTTTCATCTGTGTGCTTCTTGTCTCACACTGAGCAGTTATTAACTGAACAATCTCTCAGTGCCTGTTTATCCGACTCCAAATTTGGATAGTTTTTCTCTTATAATAAAAGATAAAAAGAAAAATAAAAGAAAGGTGAATAAATACAAAGAATTTTGATCGTGTTAATCTTAGCCATATATTGCAAAAAAGCAAAAAGTTCCTTTCAAAATAAGTTTGAGTGCGTAGTGTCCCTGGGGCTTTTCAGCGATCTCTGCAAAATTAGTGCCGAAAAAAAGACGAGATTTGGCATTGTAAATATTGATCCTCCCCATTCCCACCCAAGCACATCAAAAAGCCGCAGGATTCTGGAAATCGCACCTACATCACGGACTTCCTTACAAGGAAAGCTAGAAGAGGGAGTCTCTTCCAACTGCAAGCTCGATCCCTGACCTCCCCCTCCCAGCCTCAGCGCGATGGAACATTCCATGCGAAAGCTTTGACAGAGCAACCACTCATAGTCACGTGGAGCTGGAGCGTACTCACGGCGCCCTGCGGAATGACGCGAACTTGGGTTGCCAAGGGGCGGGGCAAGGCGTCGCGGAAGGGGCGGGGTGAAGGAAGCCGACCAGGAAGGCGGGTCGGGCGAAGTGGAGGGGCGGGTGGCGAGGGGCGCGCGGGCGGGGAGGGCCCGGCGTATTATGGGATGCGGCGGTGGAATGGCGCTGGGCGCGTGATTTTGAACAAACCCGGGTCTGTGTCTCGGAGGCGCCGCCGCCGCCGCGGCTGCTGGGAGCCCAGGGAGCGCAGCGCGAGGAGGAGGCGGCGGCGCCGCCGGCTTTGGTGAGTGTCAGCTCCCTGGATGGGGGCTTTTGAGCCGGCGGGCGGGAAGGGGGCGCCGGCCCCAGCTGCGGGAAGCGGCGCGGGCGGAGGGCGCCGGACCGCCCCCTCTAGGAGCCCGGGCGGGGAGCGGGAACCTCCGGCTAGGGGCCGCGGCGCCCCATCCCTGCGGGAGGGTCTTCGGGGCTCAGCCCCTTTCTGCCTACTCCCAGGAGGGCGGCTGTCACCCGGCAGGGCCGGGGCTCGACCAGCCGGTTGCCTTTTCCGGCAGTCTGGAGGAAGGGCTCCCGCGGCTGTTGACACGCACACAGCGAGGCCGGAGAAGCCGGCCGTGTCGGCCCTGGGTTTTTGGGAACCAGTTTTGCTGCTGTGTCATTTTGTACCAGCCCCTCCTTTTCCTGCTGGCCGCCACCCCGTTCTTCCTACGCTCCTTTGTATGGCACCTTCTTCCTGTGTGTCCGTTTTCCTCGCGAAGCCCACCAGCCAAATGTCATCATGTTCCCGAGGTGCATGGGGGAAGGGAGCAGGCTGAGACTTGGCTTGGCCAAGCAACGGTAAACAACCAAGCAGAGTGCGGGTGAACCGGACAGCCGGTGGGGCAATAAAGTTTAAAGATAAAGAAACTGGGGAGACTTTACACTCTCAGCGTCTACCAGGCTGCGTATTAAAAACGGCGATTGGGCTGGGTTGGTAGACAGCACTTCTGTACGCTGGAATCTACCGAGTTTTATATGAAGTTGTCATGCAAGCAAGGTAGGGAACTGAAATGATTTTTTCACCTTCTAGCTCACTTTTCTTAGACGAACTTTTAAAAAGGACAGTAGAGTGACCTTGTTTTCAACCTTAAATTTCAACTTACTCATTTCAGATAGGTCTTTTAGATCTCATGTTGTAGTTGAATGGTATGGACTTCAGCCTTTGAATGGATGATTATCAATTTTTTCCTGAAATTGACAAAGGTGGTCGGTTTAGTTTTTTTTTATGCTACTCTCATTAGAAGCCCTGTAGCCTATGCTTTCTTGTTATTTCTAAGATGATTTAAAAAAAATCTTATGTTCTGTTTTAGTTACTTATGAAACTGCATGATGGGAGGCGCTGGGGGGGGGGTAGCTCTAGGGTCTTACTGTTCCAAAGCAAGCTGTGTATTTTCACTGCTTTGAACAACTATATCAGCGGCAGATGGTTTTTTAATTTGTTGACTTGGATCCTAAAAAACGTTTGAAAAAGAATTTTAGCTTAGAGCTATATTTTCTGTATTTTTAGAAATTGATCATTCATGCATATATTTCCATAATTGGATCAATACATTTTAAACTTAGTTGCACTTTGACGTCTTAAACTAATGACAAATTGAAATTTACGATGTTCCTGGACAGAAATTGTCAGATAAAATTAAGTGGAGAGGAAAGTAGTTTGGAGTCTATATGTCAGACATGTGTTGAAATCTGTATTAAAAAACAAAAAAAGCTGTTTTGACCGCAGTAATTACATGAGGATCAGTGCCTGTAATTTACAGATGTATCAGAGAGGTCAGACAGGCATATGGAAATAACTCGTTCAGGCAGGGTAGTTCTGACGGTGGAGTAAAATGTCAAGAGTTGGTGAGTGACATTAAAGGTCATGATAATGTCTTCAGTGTCTGAAATGGACATAGTGAAACGCATTCCATGATCTATCTCCAGTTGCTTTTCTGAAAATGAGTTTAGATCCCTTATTGTCCTTATGCCACCTTCCGCGTGGCGTTTGCTCTTCAAAACAAAAATATGCCGGACTTGGGACCCCGCAGATAGCGCAGCTTCCTTTCGCAGCCCTGCGGGGCTGGCAGGAGCACCATCTTTCGTTCTGGGGTGAAAAGTCTTTGCGTAGCCTGTGTGTGCATTTGTCTCTCCCGTGTGCATTTGAAGGTTGGCGGGGCCGGCGGGAGGTTTCCCCGGATATGTGGGTGTGTGCCTCTCGGGAGGGGAGGATCTGGGAGGGGAAGAGGAGGAAGGGGGAGGTGACTGGCAGCGGCGGCGGCGGCGGCGGCCCGGGCTTGGGCTGTCGGAGAAGCTGCTGAGCTGTGATGGTGATGACGAGGTGAAAATGGCGGATCTTTCGAAATACAATCCCGGCCCCTGACAAACCAGAGGCGGCGGCGGCGTCGCCACACGGCTCCCTTACGGGTCTCTGGGTACCCTGTAGCGCTCCAGTTTGGGCAAACTGAGAAAGGAAGCAGCTGGTCCGAGCTATCTGGCAGAGGCAAAACAAGCACCGCCCGGGCTCGGAATTGCCCGGGACCTTCTGGAGCCCCCACCTTGGAGCCGGAGGGAGGAGAAAGCGGCAGCCGCTGGAGGTTGAGAAGAAGGAGGTACCCGAGGGCCTCTCTGCCTTGAGATCTCTTCATGGGGCGGGGGGCGAGGGGGGACACATTTGTGTCGTGGATCAAGTAATGACTTGCCTGTAGTGCAAAAGAATCAGTAGCCTCATAATGACATCAACAGTATTCTTTGGGTGTTAAGAGGGCTCAAATTTGCTCTTATACCTAAGGCTGCTGCTGAGGCCTAGAGGAACCGCTAGCGCTTATCATGATTTCCTGATTTAATAGTTAGCATATCCACTCTGGTTGGTCAACATCAGATGATGTTAATCAGTTTACGGAGTTGTATGTTTCTTTAAAGAGACTGAGCATTGGCATTTTATTCTGCATTTAAGATTTGTGTGTTAGGTCATAGTTTATAACTTGTTGGGGTACGGACATTCACTTTTTTTTAGCATATTGTCTTTTTTTTTTTTTTAATGGCTCTGTCATCCATAGAGTGACTCCCTTTGCCCCTGCCATTTGGCAAATAACAATTAAGATACTGTCAGTCAAGTTTCATACCATGTTTTTCAGAGAAATTCTTTCCTAGCCCCCATCCATTTCATGAAGCCAGAGAGTAAAAGTTTTGGAAGATTTTGCAGTAGATTTTATAATCCAAGTGAAACACAGCTCTGGAAATTCTGTTAGTGCACTAGTTTTACCGTCATTGTTAAGGAGAATTGTGATTATTGTTATGGTACCATCTCCTTTGGCTTGATGCAAGCATTTGATGTGAGTACATTAAGTTGGTATAAAGATGAATTGAGACCTCTCTTCTCTTCTAAATACTGGTCTTGTTAGTCCTTTACGTAGAGAGTTGAGAATTGGATCGGCTGACTTTATGACCAAAAAAAAAAACCAAACCCATTGGTGTCAAGTCTATCCCGACTCATAGCTTCATTTTGTAGGTTATCTAAAGACATGTAGGTATTAGATTGTCCTGCAGGATCTCCAGTGGGTCTGTCTTCTTGCACACAACAGTTATTGTTGTTGTTGGGTGCTGTGGAGTTGGTTCCAACTCATAGCGACCCTGTGTACAACAAAATGAAACATTGCCTGGTCCTGCACCATCCTCACAATCTGTTGCTTTTTGAGCCCACTGTTGCAGCCACTGTGTCAGACCGTCTCATTGAGGGTCTTCCTCTTTTTCGCTGACCCTCTACTTTACCAAGCGTGATGTCCTTCTCCAAGGCCTGATGCCTCCTAATAACAGTTTCAAAGTACATAAGATGAAGTCTTGTCCATCCTTGTTTCTGAGGAGCATTCTGTCTGTATTTTTTCCAAGATAGATTTGTTCATTTTTCTGGCAGTGCATGGTATATTAAATATTATTCTCCAATACCATAATTAAAATGCATGAATTCTTCTTCAGTCTTCCTTATTAATTGTCCAGCTTTCACATGCATATGAGGCGATTGAAAATACCATGGCTTGGGTCAGGCACACCTTAGTCCTCAACACACCACAGTAGTGTCCCTGAAAAGTTAAACATGAATCATATTCTTATACATTAATTTGAGGCCTTGTTTTTTTTCCCCCAGCTTTTGTGGGAGAAGGTTGGGTCAGTGACTCTGAGTGTATGAAAGTGAACCAAACCAAAATCAAACCCATAGCTGTTGAGGCAATTCCGACTCATAGCGACCCTATAGAAGGGGGTAGAACTGTCCCATGGGGTTTCCAAGGAGCTCCTGGTGGATTCGAACTGCTGACCTTTTGGTTAGCAGCCGTAGCTCTTAACCACTACGCCTCCAGGGTTTCCATGAAAGTGAGCAGAAAGGTAAATATTCGAGACATGCTTGCTGGTAATGTTTATAATTAGCAGTGAATAATTTTCTTTATCCTCAGATTGTCTATGAAGAGATGATGTTATAGCTATGTCATACAATATCATACATTTTGTATTCAGAGTATAATTGTTTTTTGTGTATATAGCTTGGACATTTGGCCTCTCACTCGCTAAAAGAATAAGGGACAGGAAAAAAATTCAGAGGAAATACCTGAGAGATACTTTAGATCTAATTAGTGCAGCTTTAAAAATCATTTGTCTGATGTTCTTATATTAGCCAGTAGGAATTTGTTTTTATTTTACAGCATTTATGTTGCAATTATTTGGGCCATGACAACCCAACTGCTAAATTAATAGTAAGATTAAGGATTTTAAAAATAATTAAAATAAAGAGGGAGGTTAAAATGCCTTTTTATTTGTTTTCTCTTAATCACAGAGGGTTATTGTCTTTTTGTGATTTTTTCGTGACTGTCTTTAAAGACCAGTTCTCAGAATTGTTGTTAGAACAATTGTCTATTTATTAATAATTGAAAGTGTGTTGGAAAAAAATGAAGGAAGATTTATGCCACTGTAGGTAGTCTGGCATCTTTTTTTTTTTTTTTTTTTAAACATTACAGATTTTCATTACTTCATTCAGGTACTACTACTGGATGTCTGCTATGTCTCACATACTATGCTAAGCCTAGGAGATAAAATAACTTTAATATTATTGCATCAAGAGAGCTTCCAGTTTAGGAATCACTGGAGGTAAATTTGGACGGTTGGATAGGGCCTAATGCAGAAGGCCTTGAGAGTTACAGACAATTTTTGAGGAGAGTGACAGCCTCAGAGATGCACTCTAGGGAGATAAATTCTGTAACTGTGAAGTAGGGTGAAGTGAATTGTAGGTGAGAGGAGATGGAGGTAAAAATACTGTAGTCTCTGAGGCTGTCAGTCTCCTACTTAAAAATTTTCTGTAACTCTCAAGGCCTTCTACATTAACGGTGGCAATGAATAGTTAAGTGCTTGGCTGCTAACCAAAAGTTGGCAATTTGAACCCACCAACCACTCGCCAGGAGGAAAGACCTGACGATCTGCTTCCATAAAAATTTCAGCTTAGGAAACATTATAGGGCAGTTCTACTGTGTCCTATAGGGTCGCTTTGAGTTGGAATTGACTCAAGGCACAAACAGCAAGGCTTCAAGCTTTGCCGTTTTGGAAGTCATTGGTTGCCTTGGGGAGGAGACAATTGTGAACGGTGTAGTTTGCATGATATATGACAGATTAATTATTTCTATGGAGAGACATCAAAGATGACAAGATCATAAACCTTGGTGTTTGATGAAATATCGAATATCATAAAAAAAAGGAGAGAAATCAAAAGGAAAAGCTAATTTAGCTAGAGAAAGAGGAAAGGAACTTACACTTGAATTACAATCAGGGCTTCGAACAGGTTTAAACCGGTTTAGTCATGGCCAACAAAGCAAAACTGGAAAAGACCAAAATTTTTAAAATTTGGGTGATCCGGCACCATAGCTGGAATGGGAAAAATTACAGGTCAAAGCCCTGGAATGTGAGACTCAGGGGTGGGAGTGGCGGGGAGAGGTGTAGTGAGCCCTTTCAGGAGCCTGATGCATGAGGTTGGATTATTGCCAGGACTGAGGAGAGCAACGTACATTTCAGAGCAGTGTGGTCAGCCGCCGTCTTCGAAAGGGGCATCACTGTTTCGGACTCTGCACAGAAACCTATGGGCAAGAGATTTGGTTGCTGTGCAACACTTAGGCTGCCCTTGTTTTCTAAGGGGAGGATCTAGTTTCTAGCTGGGCTTTGACCTGTACTTTTTCCCATTCTAGTTATAGTTCCAGTTCACCCAAATTTAAAAAATCTGGGTCTGTTCTAGTGTCACTTCCTTGGCCATGATTGAACTAGGAAGAACCAGGTCGAAGCCCTGGTTACACTGTACCGCATCGCTGTCTTCACAGTAACCCTGCAAGTAATCTGACAGAGATTGGTTACGGTCACGTGATAAGCAACTAAGAGAGCCAAGATTTACAACTGGGTCATTTTGATTTG